ATTCCAATTCATCCGGAGAACACGGTTTGTCGTCGGCAATAGCTTGCTTTGCGGGAAAAACAAACGTCTCATCAAGCAGACTGAACTCATACTGCTTGACGCGGAGGGGATTAATGTCACCCGTCCGCAACTTGTCCGGCAAATTCTTGAGCGGCAATACCAAAATTTCATGCGTGTAGGTAAAGCCAGGTTGCACATGATAGCCAACAAAAATGCCGACATCCGAAGTTGGCAGAAACTTGGACTGCTTCGAATCGACGCGCTGACGATTGATCCAATACGACAATTTTGCACCAAATGGAATCTTCGTGTCAGGAAACTCATCACCAAAACGCAAAGCCCACGGCGACTTATCCTTGTCATCTGGAATTGTAACATTGAGAGCAAATGCATGATGTTGAGCTGCCAAAGGCCAAAGCTCAACCGGCAAACCACTTTGAAACAGATTTGCTCTTGCTCCCTCCAGAATTGTACGAATCTCGCGCTCGATCACCCCGGAAGATTGACTGACATATGGCTGGCTCAGCACGTGTCTCCAACCCATACTCTTTACTGCAGCTGCAATCTCGCCAGAATTGTCAGAATAGAAAATCCCAACATGATCATCTGGCTTCGTGAAATGTTGAAATGCACGAACGCAACTGTCAGCATCTTGCCTTGCTGAAGGGTAAAAATACCGGAACTGCGTGAACACATCTTTCACGACCAAAGCATTCCACTCGCCCTTGAACCCATACGTCTCATCATTTGAAATGACGTGGTCAGCAGTCACATGATCTCCAAATGCTTTTGCATCCACCGAAGAAGATCCATGTCTACGACGAGCCTGAGGTGCTTGCATCTTTGATCGCACACACGTTTCGCAAAAGGGATTCTTGGGCCTGTGAGTGAAAAGATGCTCTTCACTTTTGGCCTCACGCATCATCATTTCTTTTGAACGCTTTGACATCGGTTTTGGAGCTTTCGCAACCTCAGGGTTGTCCTCCAATTCCGGATCAAACTCCGGTTCCAGCGGTTCAGCTTCATCAGGGCGCAATGGAAACGATGCAGCATCCGGCGGAGGTTGCCCTCCGCTTGAAGATGAAGGCACTTCAACGCCCCCGATCTTCTGATCGGATGCAGCAAGAGCAACAGGCATAGCTGATTCAGAAGCTATGACCTCGCACTGATCGTCAACATAAGGAACTCGCCCATCGAGCTTCAATATTACCGCTTTCCCGTCAGGTCGAACAAAGTACGGAGCACTGTTCTTTCTCCATACGAAATCGTACCCCTTTTCCAAACATCTTTGACCAACAGAAAGTACAGCTGGTGTGCTCGGCAAAACATACGGAGTGACGACCTCGTTCAACTGATCAATGGAGAAGTCCGCAATCTTGTCTGCACAAATTGATCCATTTGCTGTTGAAAGATTGATTGGAGTCAATGCAGGATTTATCTTCTTTTGAAGTGTAACTGCACGCTCAGAGTCAACCAGATCTTGTTCACTACCTGTGTCGACAATCCACTGACGAAGCCCTGCTGGTGCTGGCGTAGCAATGTACTCCGGCACATCGTCAAGGTTCGTTTCATCATCATCAATCCAACAGCCAGGACAATATAAACCGCAATAAATTGGGTCATTGTCATCATAGTATTCGCAATAGAACCCACAAGGCGCGTTGTAGTTTGCATGCATCAAGTCAACAACCCCTTCCAGAATCAAAGCTTTGTCTTTAGCATCGATCAGATCCTTGGGATTTGAGCCAGGCGCACAACCATCATACCACACAACCTCAGGGTCATTCGGCTTTGGAGCACATGATAGGCATAGCCCATTGGCCTCGATCTCGACGATCTCGACATTGTCTGCGAATTTGACGCATCTGCGGGTATTGGAAACATCTGTACTGCAAATGAAAATTGTTTGCCCAGTCCAGTATTGCTCCAAACCTTCATCAGGATCCGCCCAGAAATCACCAAATACTTGCTCTTTGCCATTGATGTTGGCTTTGGTGATGCGCTGATCCAATAAACGTTCCAGCGAAATCGGAAGGTCTTTTGCACTCTTCGGATCATAAAGCGCTTTTCGGGGCATCACATGGTGTCGAATGACCATCTCGTTCACCGAGTCAACTTCCCAGAAATTTTGCTTTGGGCGGCATGCTGCGAGGCATGCATTGGTCTCTTTCACCCTCAGACACACAGCGGCTGAGGACTCGCCGTTTTTGCTCTGGGATCGCTTCCTCCCTTTTCCCTTTAAAGTGGGAGACCTACCTCTGCTGGCTCCTTTCTTTGGGCTCGGCTTATCTGTTGCTGGTGCAGCAGACCGAGTCTCATGCGAAAACGCACAGTTGTCTCCACGAGTGCATTTCCCCTGACCGCCTTTGAAAAACCTGCAGGGGATCTTCTTCAGCTCCGCTCTCTTTCTCGATGCCGACCGATCCCTGTCTCTCGCTTGGCTGTCAGAGCGCCCCCGACCTTTTCCTTTCGGATTTTGGCTCGGGGGTCTTGGGTCTTTCTCATGCTTGTAAATGCAATTATCCCGAGTGCACTTGCCTTTCTGAAAATCATAGCAATACCTGACCGCTGAAGGATCTCTTGCACGCCCAGGATTTGCATTGGGAGCTGGAGCACCGACCTTCTGATTGTGAGCTCGAGCAACACGATCACGATTTGACTGCAATCGCTCCCGAGTCAAAACATCACGAACGGCTTGAACAAGAAACTCGTAGCTCTTGTCATACGACCCATCTTTTGCACGCTCGTATGTATCGAGGTCATACTTGATCTTGTGACATCCACGAATCTGTCGCAAGAAAATGTCCTTCAAGACGTGCTGCTCCGGAACGATCTTCATGCCAGCAATGACGGAATCCCAATTCTGAATAAAGGTCATCAAATCATTGCCATGAAGCACCACCTTCAACAAATCTTCAGTGGAATACAACGCTCCGGCCTCCTCATTTGTTCTGAAATACTGCTCAAACATGAGAAGAACTTGACGTCCACGGACAACTTTGTCCAAAGCAGCTTGTTGCTCCTTGTAGGTGAGGATCTGCCGACTAAGGTCGCCCCTAGCAATCCGCGACAAGGCCGCAAGAAGCTTTGTATCCAACGTTTCAAACTGCTCTGGATCTCCAAGCTCTAACATGAGATTCTTCTTGTCCTCCCGGTTGACGTACACCTTGTTAACCCAGGCGAATGCAGCATCAGGCCGATCTGAAGCGGCCCGAATCTCTTCGCGAGTAGCCGTTTTCCAGGCTCTATTCTCAGGAGTGGGAAACTCACTCAGCCTCAGCGAATCGGCTTCCTTTGCTTTTGGCCGATCATGCTGATTCCGGACGAAGCCGAGGAGGGCCGCACGGAACTCCGCCTCGGTGGTCTCGGGACCAGTCAACCGATCAATGTTCGGCTGATTTTGCTGACTTCGGCTGTTCTCTTGCTCCGAAGACCGTCTCGCATGATCTTTGATATCAAACTGCATTGCACCAGAAATAGGATCAGTCCAACTCTGCTGTGGAATAATCTGTGGCATAGTTCCAGAAGTTTGTGCATTCTGCGTTGGAAAAAGACGCGGATCATCAAAGATACTGCCCCTCTTATCCAAAAACGACTCCGAACTGACGTTCTGTACACTTGACGCAGGCTGAGGATCTCCGCGCACCATTTCACGCTGCGCCTTTTCGAGATCGTTCCTCAGACGCTCAACGGTGTCGTTCAGCCCGTTGATCGTGTCCTGCATGGCGTGGTTCTCCGCCAAAATACTGTCTCTCTGCTCACCGACCGCCTTCTCCGAGTTCTCCATCACAACAGTCTCAGCATGTAAGCTTTGTGCGAAAGCGCTATACTGTGCCGTTCTTTGCGACACAGCTTCGTTCACTTCGGCAGAAATTGCTCCCCGCATCTGGCCAATCTGGGCGCTGAAGAAAGCGCGGGACTCTGCGAACTGCTCGTGCAGCTCAAGGGTCCGGCGGTTGTTCTCCTCGTCCAGGCGATGCACAGTTTCCGCCAAATGAGCGCTATATTCCGCCCTTGCAGCATCCATAGCAACGCGATGTAACGTGTTGGCCTCTTCCCTAACAGCGTCACCCGTGTCGTTATGCACATGCATGATGTTCTGGGTGGCTTGATAGTTTGTCGCGAATCCGAATACGTTTCGAGGATCGCGAGGGTCGACAGGACCATTGGGTGCAACTGCACCTTCACTACCGTCACCAACATCTCCAGATATATTGTAAATGGCAGGCATATCTCCGGATGCCATGGCGATCTTTGTACAAGCCTTTACGGCTGATAACCTGTGCTATCAAGCCTAGGCCACCTAAGGTAATACCTAGGCAAGCAGCAAACCGTTGACTACTTTTCACACTGCTGTCAGTGCTCTTGAAGTCTGTAGCGGCGGAGCATGTACAAGGTACACTCATGCACAGGGTTGGAACCTGAATCCACACTTTCAGGCTCCATGCTTTGACCAGGGTAAAGTCTCATCGATTTCACATCCTTCAGGGATTACTCGGGGACAAGAGCCCGACGCCGGCAGTTGCAACCGTTCCCCCTCTGTGCCAGCGCGGACAACCGGCCATCAACCAACCAAACAAACAACCAACCAACCAACCAACCAACCAACCAACCAATCAAGCGCAAGCAAGCAGACATAAGCAGACAATCAAACAAGCACCCCAAGCCCTTGCTAAGCTGCGCGCCACTCCCAGTGACATCCTCGAAATTACGCTTTGTAAGTCAAAGGGAAGCCACACTCAAAAGCCCAACAGCAATCCTGAGACTTCAACAAATTCACATTACTGAAGCCCAGTTTTGACCCCCATCAGTCCGGGGTTCGCTGGGAGAAGGTCGATCTTTTAGGGAACCTTCACTCTTGGGGGGAGCCGGGTAAAGGGGGGGGGCAAGACACCTCCCAATGATGCACCGGGTCAAATTACCCTCCTAAGAAGGGATTCCTCTAAACATGGATCGGTTTTGGGGGGGTAGAGTCCGGGGTCCACAAACGGGGACCCCGCCTGCTCCAGGTCTTGCTGGAGCCATGACATCAGGAGGTTGGGCATGTCCTTGACGTAGGGCCTCCCATGACTGGGGGGCTCGCGGAAGAGAGGGGCGTCAAATAAATGGCGTCAAGCATTGTGCTCCCTCGTGTTCCTCCATCATATTAAAAGCAATCTGAACTCCTGCAGTTCAAGAAAGGCTGTGGGAAGATGAGGTCTGCCAAACATCGGACATGATTCGCATTTGGTTTCCCTAGGCTCGAAATCATGTGGCACGTTGCACGCAGCCACCCTCTCTCTCACAAGATGCTCCCAAAGTGCAACTCCAAAGCTCCCTCGCCCTCTGCGTGGCACCCTTTGGTCATTTTTGCTGATCATCTTTGAGGGCTCGGCCCGCCTCCAAAACTTGAAGAAAGGAAATCTCAGCGTGGAAACGAGCTGCCTTTGCCCCGCAACCAAACAGGATGCGCTTGATTCTGGTCCATGCTCAGTAACGGGATCCCTGAAAGCAAGGAAGCCCAAAATCACATTGCACATGCAAACCGTGAAACAGCTGCAATAAAGGTGGCTCTCAATTTGGCCCAAAAGAATCCTGTAGGAGCCCTGCAATAGGGGAATCCCACGAACCACCGGGACTGAATCGCCGGAAATCCGAAGGCTTCCGGGCCCGAGCATCGCCGCCATGCGGGCATAGGGGGCCAAGAGGTGGAGCCTTGAACGAGAACGGCTGGCTGCAGGTTGACCCCATGGTATAGGCTTGGCACAAACACACGCCTGTTTTCTTTGTAGAAGCCTATTTTTAAACATGAACAGAACCAGAAAAAGCAAACTAAAAACATGGCAACAACAGTGAGGTTTAAGGGGAAAGCCACTCAGTTGCCCGGGATGGGACCAGGCAAATCCTGGTTGGGACCAAACGGCAAAATATGGACCAAGCAAAATTTTATCAGGGCATGCAACAAGCCAGCCAGGTGTGAACCTGCAGAGCCTAAACCATTTTTCGGGCAAACTCGACGATTCCGCGGGAAAAAAAGGAAAGGATCAACCCTAAGAAAGGAACCTTGGGGTCACGTCACACACCCGCGCGGGCAACTCAGGTATGTTCAACTGGCTGCGGGAAAAATAGGCACTGGAAAGCAGTCTGCCTGAGCGCCTCGCTGCTTGGCCTTGTGAGCCTCAGCAGAAGGAAGCCACCCAGTGCTCAGGGCAGGGCGCACTTCCACCTTTGTCGGTGGCTTAGCTGCCATGGCCAACTTTCAACTCTAGCCACATGAAGACGCCCATCTTCAATTGGCAACACCTTTAGGTAGCAACAACTTGATGGCCACATGTTGGGAGTCCAGGTGCTACTCCTTCCGTGCCCAACTCATGTTTGGAGAACTTTGGGGAGGGCTTGATGCATGGACACCCTTGGATGCGGTTGGATCCCAAAAGTTTGGTCATGAAGCATGGAGGGCAATTAAACAATGGGGAATGTCCAGCACGCAGGAAGGCTATCCGGTTGGGCCCGGCAAGAGAGCCGTTGAAACGAGGCTGACAGAAGTGTCCAAAAATCGCAACACAATCAAGCAAGGGTGGTTGCCTCTTTCCTCTTGGCATCGAAGTTTGGGTGTGCTGACAAAAACCCGAAACAACAAGCCAGCTGGAGGCACGTCTCGTAACCAGGGAGGTGCACAAAAGGAACGTTCGGAACGTTCTGTGAACATGTCCCAGCCCAATTCTCCAAACCCAAACCGCTTGCGGGCCCCCCATGTTTGGGCTGGTGGATCCAAAAGGAACGCCTCCTCACAAAAAGCAAAAGGAGAACGCAGAACTGAAAATCGGTGCAACGTGTTCTTTTTGTTTTTCCCCCGGGTGCTTTCTTGACCCTCACGCCGCCGAGCCCGAGCCCCCGGCTCCAAACATGTGGGCCTCGGAAGGCTCACAATGCGTCCGTCGGTTTGTCTCTGAGTTTCATCCACTTTTAAACTTTTACAGCCAGAAAATACACCCACATGTTTGTGGCATATACTCGATGCACCACTGAACGTAGTAGCTTCTGAGTAGTGGAAACCATCTTGGAGTCTCACTCTGTGTCGTTGGCTTCGGGGTTGGTTTCCGATCCGGCTAGTTCGCAAATAGCATTCACTCAGCACGCTGAGCTCGTCTTTCCTGCCAGGAAACCTCGTGATAGACATAATGATATTGCTTTGGAACATCAGATTTTAAGAAAACACTAGACTGACTTCGTTCTAAACGTGACTGCGCCGGATGGTTGCCGCTGCACACGGCATTCGCATCATTTGGCCAAGTTAGAGCTGCCCATATGCCAACAAAGATTTAAGTTTTTGGCTGGCAAGATGAAGACACCAACCGGCAAAAAGCGGAAAGCTTAGCAACATGTAAGGTACTTGCACAAATACTGGTCGGAATGTTTAATTGGTCTCGAAGAAAGGCAGGGTTGGGCAAATCCGTGTTTAAATCTGTCGAGCCAATAATGCTTAAGCAGCCACCCTGCCGCTTCCCTTTAAAGCGGACCAGGGGATGCCCTAAGAATTGCAAGACGCCCAACCATGTTGAACCACAGAACCATATGGTAAACTGAAGTAAAGCCTACGCTAAATTCGTGATTTACCCGCCACCGTACCAGCACCCACCTTACTTGCGAGCGCCGCTACCAGGAGCTGGGCTGCGAGTTTGTGGCGATTGCCCTTGGTGTTGAAGTCGTGGAAGAACCTGGGCACGCCGCACGCCGCACAACTTTTGGGATACACCGCACAGTTGTAAGAACTCTGGTCCTCAACTTGGCCCACAAAAACGGGGTACACCGAAATCTTTGAAGATTCTGCTCATGCTCGGCCCATCCTTTTCACAACTTTGGACACCCCCATTTCGCCGGGCCCGTTGAACTGGCCTTAGCTCCCTCTTTAAAGGCCACTTTGCATACTCCCAGCTCCTTGGCCCCCTTCCAACTAACAACTCGTTGATCGAGGAAACCCCCCCCAAGAAAAGGATGTAGAATTTAGAGGATGCCATTAAGCTATCGGAGTAGTGGTGCTTGGTGCACATTGCTTTGCGAAAGACCAGGGATACAGAGATGGATGCAACCCCCTGTGCCGGCGGCTTTGTTGTCTTGATCCGAGCACTATGAAGAGCCCGTTCCGACTCTGAATGGTTTTAGGTGTCAAAGGAAAGTAGCTCATGCGTCATAGGTCCATTGGCTGAAACATATGCCTCTGGCATGTATTCAACTACATGTGCATTCATTCATTCTATGAATGTGCAGCTGGTTGCCCAAATCCGGGCCCACGTCCGGGGTGAGGCATCTTTGGGGTGGGTCCCACCCCAAAACCATCTTACATCGACCCTAAACCCATCCTAGATTCACGCCAAAGCCACCCAAAGTCCACCCTAAACCGACCCTAAGCCAAACAACGCTAAGCCAGCACGCAGTAAACCCACCCCGAACAAAGTCTAAACAAAACAGCCCCGGCGATGCCCGACAAGTTTGTTTTTGATGCCTGGCAAGTTGTTGTTTGATGCCGGAGTGTCCAGGCTGTTCTCTGCGTTTTGCAGCACAATCGTGTTCCAAGAGTCATTGTTTTACGCTTGATAAGCGCTTCCTGATTTTTAGAAATAAGTCTTAGCGCCGGGCAGTCCTTGTTGCCTTCTTGTCTTCTTGTCTTCTTGCCTTCTTGCCTTCCTTCCTTCCTTCCTTCCTTCCTTCCTTCCTTCCTTCCTTCCTTCCTTCCTTCCTTCCTTCCTTCCTTCCTTCCTTCCTTCCTTCCTTCCTGTTGCCGTTGGAAAAGCAATAAACTTTTTTGTGATGCCTGATAAGTTTGTTCGATATCTAGTAAGTGCTTGGATAATTCATCCTTAAACAGGTAATTTATTGATACCTATCCCCGACACCCCGGGCACACGAAACATAATATTGTCTGATACTATTTCACATCTCGCCAAGCCTAAACGTAAAATACTCTTGGAGGAAAGCCCTGAAATAGTGCAAGAAGGGAACATGCCCATCCCTCCGTCCTCGCTGGTGTTGGGCTTATTGCCGCAACACAGTGGATTCAAGCTACATCGCTACGCGGCGAATCGCCGGAGCTTAGATGAAGCAGGTGCACAAGAGTGTACAGGGATTCCCGCGAAAGCGGTGACCGAGCGCAAAAAAGGGGAACAGGGGGGACCCGGAAGGCAACCCCCAAAAACCAAAACCCCGAGCCGAAAAAACCATCAACGCCCACCGCCCCGGAAAAAGGCACGCACCAGGGCCTCTCGAGGCGGCGGTGCCGCGGTCTGACACCATTCAGCGTCGCAAAAATCTGGCCTAAGGATGGGAACCTCAGGTTTGGCTGGTGCAAAGTGTCCTGAAAGGGTGACTTGCCTGGCCGGCAGGCCTTTAGCAGTCCAAAGTAGCTGCTTTGCGTGCAGCTCACAAGCGAGTGTCAAGGCTTTGTCAAAGCAGGATTTTTCAAGATGGTAAGGAACAATGGCCCATTTGATCTCGTCATCAAGTGGATGGACCGGGCGAACCTTTTTAAAGAAAGATCTCAACCCTGGGACTATTTCGCGGCCAAGAGTTTCACTAAGAGTACGCAAAACTATGAGGAGCGTGCAGGCCTGTCGGCGGATGCTCTGGTCTGAGCGTGTGCGCCAATGCCAAGTAGTACGATCCCATCGGCATCGTGCAACCGGTCTGGAGGTAGAAAAGCAAGCAAAGTAGAACAAGGGGCGTACCACTTCCATGCTGCGCCTGCTGATCATGCCATTGCAAGTGTGCAATAAAGACGCAAAAGTGCCACAAGAAGTCTGCAGGGAAGATAGTTCGGAAAGCTGGGATGTTCCCACAATTAACAAAACGTAGCTGCCCAATCGTGGCAGGTGGTCCTTGCTGTGGCATTGCTTCACGCCGGGAAGGTGCAACTTTTTGGGCAAAGATTTTTGCAACCTGGATGTGAAGGGCGGCAAGCTGATGCCAATCCTTCAGTGCTCGTTGGTCTGTTTTTATGCCTTGGACAGCTAAATCACGGGTGTGACTATCCCACAAGTCGTACGCTTCATTCGCTTCGGCATCTGCTAAAGCGTTGCCCCGGATCCGGAAAGCATCGGCTCCAGAAATGGCGGTGTGTATGGACCGGTGAGCTTTTACCCATTGAACATGCCCATCCCTGGTTTATGGCCCCATAGGGGACCAGCGTATCTCAAGGCTCGGAGGCCAACAAAAGCTAGGGGCTGCACTCCACCACAATCTCATCCACCTGACTTCCGAATTCGGGCTGCGCTTTCTGAGGGCGATGTCAACACCATGGCTTCCCTTACGACAAACCCCCCAAAGGGTTCTGCGTGTGTCTGTTGTTGAAGGTAACCAGGTAGCACCTGTAAGTTTCCCAAAGCCCTTCAACAGAGAACCACCCATGTCAGGTTTACCGCGCACATGTAGAAATGGCCGAACTCCCAGAAGGGGCGGACGGCCCCATGGCACTGATAAGCCAACCTGGGCGAACAAACTGCAAGTCCGCAAATCCAGAAAGAAGGGAACGGGCGCTTGCACAATCTGTTGAGTGGCCATGGGGTCAATCCTGGATATCGGCCATCTCCAAAGGTTGGCCTATGGGACATGTGATTTTTTAAACATCAAACAACCAATCAGCTTGTGTTGCAAAGCTGAAGCGAACCGTTTGGACATGCACTGTCTGCTTCTGTCAAAATCAAAGGCGGAATGTACCAACCCGTGTATCGTACGAGTGTTTCTTAAAATGTTAGTGGGTTGGCATTTAGTGGGAAACCATGAGAAACCCAAACTATTTTTGGGGCAAGCGCTGGTATAAGCCTCTAGTGTGTGGGCCGAGCGGCTTGGTTCTCTGAAAATAGTTGGAGCTAGAATCAAACCAGCCAAGTAGCAACTAAAAAATATGGCGCCAGGAACAAGCGCCAAGGAGCAACACAGGGACACCTCAGTTTCTGCGGATTTTGGTTGGCACCCGAGAGGGAAACGCAGTGAACATATTGATTTTGAGCAGCCCGGGCCGCCCCAAAGGTTCGGTCCCGGCCTGTTTGGCGGTTTCCGCCTTGGACACGCGCATGAGGTAAAGATCGAAGTCCTTGGCTGCCGAGACGGGAAAGACCGAAAAGCCCAATGGAATAAATGGGCCTGTATCTTCATTTGGGACCCTTTCGTTGACATAGGTGGGGATTTATGTCCTCCAGCCACTATAGGGGTTCCTGACTAGCAGTCGCCGGAAAACTCGCCACAAAAATTGTCTTTTGGATGGGTTGCCTTTCGGCAGGTCACCTACCCAGCCTATTCATGTGCCACATGGGCTGGGCGACGGGTGCGTCTTTCTCCAGGGTACCCTTTTTGGATTTCAGAAACACCCATTTTCAGGGAAACCGCTGGAAAACCCATTTTGATTCTCTTTTTTTTCTTCGGGGGGGGGTCGGGGTCCCTGAAAAAAAGAGACACCCATGTCAGCCCCGGACAAACGAAAATTCACATACTTCACCTAGCTGAATATTCCATGCGTAAATTCGTGCATTCACGCATCTGTAACATCAATGGAAGAAGCCCTTCCGATGACAAAGTAAAGTGAACAAGCTCATGCCGGAAGCCAAAGTATGGCACTCGCAACAGGCAACCGGCGCCCGTTCCCGCCGTGCATTGGCACTTGCTGCCCTCTAATCAAGCCTGCGCCAGCTTCTCTGCTGCCTTGTTTTGGGCCATCCGCATTTTAAAAAAGGCTTTCTGTCTCGCATCTCTCGGGGCAAAGGGTCCAGCCGGCCACCGCGCTATACGGTGGCATGTAAGCCTTTATACTAGCTATCTGGATCTGCCCTTGATACTTCACAGGACGGACCACAACCAAACACACACAACCCAACCCAACGCACCCATCAAGCCGAACCAAAGAAAACCAAGCCCACACACACACACACCAATCCCAACCGCCATCTCCAGTCAGTTTTCCCAGCCCCCTAGTTTTTGGTTGGTCCGTGGCTGATACGTTGGAGATGGTCCTGGGGAAGGTTTACCAGAAAACCAAGATTCCGAAGCCGCAGAGAGGTCTTTGGGCTTCTCCTTGTCCTCACTCGGTCTCTCTGCTTTGGCCTCCTGGCATGGCTCCCGAGTTCCTTTCTGTCTTGCGCTTTAGCCTTCTCAAAGGGAAAGCCGAACAACAACAAATGGATTCCAAGGGACGCCCTCCAGGGCGATGGGATATTTTTGAAGTGGCCCCCGTCTGTGGCTACATCTGCAAAAGGAATCCTAAACTTTCTAGGTACATTGAGTCCTTTCCAACAGTTTGTTGCCAAACACTGTCCAAACATTTGGCTTCCCGCTCGAACAGTCAGTGTTGAAGCTCGGAGATTGGAGTCAGCTACTTGGTCAGAAATCGGCCCCCAGCAAATAGTCTTCTCGCCGCACACGGGCAAGAAGGCCAACTGAGTGTGGCAATGAGCAAAGCTTCCACAGCACATTTTGGGGAACAAGGGAGAGGCGCCCCACCGAAAAGGAGAGTTATGTCAAGGCCGCCCGTGCTTCCCCATGCTTTTTGAGGGTACCCCCTTTTGCCTGGCTACACAGGGGTCCAAGAAGAAAACCAACCCCTTTCTTCTTCTTCTTCTTTTGGGGGGCATAATGCATACCAATCCATGCCAGCCACGCCTTCTCCGCCTCTGCGTCCACCGGACCTTTGCCAGAGGTCAAGAGCACTGCCGGGATGATGTCCTGACCGGGGAAAACGAACCTTCGAACAGCCATCACATGGGTTCGTTTGTCTTCTTAAGGGTGCCCATGTTGGTTTGTGTGCTTTAAAAGGGTGCCAAAGGAAAACGACAACCTGTTAAGTCCTATGAACCCATCCCTGGAGAAGCCTGGGCCAAGGACAAGCTCTTAAGGCGTTTAGGGTCTAGTAAAAAGTCAAACTTTTGTATTGGTGCAGCAGGAACAGCAAGGCCTGCAGAAAGAGCTTCAAGCTCCTTATTTTGAGTGTTTGATCCCATTTGAAGCAGTGGTCCGGTGCTGTAACGGTGCCGTCCAGCACTCCCTTCTCGTATCTTATCCTTTTGTGGGTTTGTGGGCCACTGCACGCTCTCCCAAAAAGTTAAAGGTCGACAGGACCCCAACATGAGTGGTTCCTCAAACAAGTAGCATTCGAACAGCGCGTCCTCATTAGCTGGTTCCTTGCTCCGGGCGAACACGGAAATGAAGGAGTTCTGCGCGTTCATGACATTTGCAACAAGGACCGCACAAGTTCTACGCGTGACAAGTCTTTCGAGTGGGGAAAGGGCGCCTCGAAAGGAGCGGAGATTGGAGCAAAGAGCGGAGCGAAGGGTCGGAGAGAAAAAGAAAGGCGACTGCGCGGAGCGGAGAGCAGAGCACATGGAGACGATTGAAAAGACAAAATCAGGTTGATTTTAATAATCTGGTAAACTCAATGCCGGCAGTTTTCCTGTAATGCCAAAATAGCGGGGACTCTGGCCTAACAACACCTCCCATAATACATTCAAGTTCTAGACACTTTTGCCAAATGTTCGGTCCACCTTGACTGCCTCTCCCGAAAATATGATACAAGCAAAAACTATATTTAAATGATATTGATCATACAATGTACATATGTTATATATATATAGATATATACAATATATTTCTTTATGTTGACACTTTAGACATATATTTATGCATGTTACACATGCATATACGCGTATATATCGGTATACCTGGGATTCTCAACAAGGTGGATCCCCTTTTGCCTGGTTTTAAGGGCCAGCCAAAAGACCACGCACCATTTTCGGGTCTCCCATTGTCAGAAACACCCATGTAGAAAGCGCAGCCATCCAGTTTCTCGAGCATGCAGTATCAGGAGCTGGCCTTTCCCAGGCGTTGTGCACAGTCAGGTCAGCCAGGATGGCTTCAAGCCCAGCAATCAGATGCCAGGACACCCGCTTGAATCGGCATCAGGAGCGAATTGCAAAAAAGGAGCGGTTTGAAAGCACAAGGATACGCAGCCACTTTTTAGTGACTTTGAGGCATGTTCTTGGCACCTTGGGTCCTAGCGATGTACAAGCGCTGCCGCGCTCTCCCAAAAGCGAAAAGAACAAAGAAGCCACCGTTTCAAGCGATGTCCTGGCGCGTGTTGTGAAACATGTCGCAGCTCGCCACTCCTTTAGAGGGATCGCTGGGTAGGACCATACAAGTCCTTGTCTGTGTCTATCTCGATGCGGTTCTCAGGCTCCGAGTTGGCAGGCGGATCATCGACAGAGACCGTCTTTTGATCATCGACGGTGTCCGTCTTTTCTCGCAGCAAAAATGTCCAATCAAAGGGCAAGCCAATTGCCTTCATCAATTCATATGCATCCACGTGTCGTAGAACCAAAGCATTCAGGTAGGAGTCGTTGCCCCGGGTAGCCTCCATTGTTGCCACACCTGGCACTGGGTGGCACTTCAATACGTTCCCACCAGAACATGCCCTTAAAACAAGTAACAGTGAGAAAGATTTCATCACGTTCCAGCATTTCAATGTTCCAAGATAAAAAAAAAAGGACCATCATGTTCCAATCTCAAAACTCCCAGTCACACGCACACTGTTCCAAAATCCGGCCTATTCGTTGATATAGGGCATCGTTCGGGTCGAACAACACGCTGCAGCAGGTACGGCGGAATCTGACTTGACGCAGCCTTGCAAGATCCCAAGAAGAAAATTCTGTTAAGTTGGCCGGTGAAAGGAGTTGCTTCGACATCATGAGTAAAACGAGAAGGGGCAGGATCTCCTTCTGTATGATTGCCCAAATGAGCTGGAAGTTCATGTTGGACTGAACGAGGATCAAGATGGTACCAAGGATGAAGACGATGAACAAGCTGAAGAGATAGGTGCGGATAACAACCCTGTAAAGACATCTCTTCTCCAGCTCAAGGGTGAACACCAAGTATGCACCACTCTGTATAGAGGAAAACTTGTACTTGCAGGCCTCCACAATGAACATAACCAGGCAAGCAGAGTAGACAATCAAGAAAGCCGTAAGCAGAAAAACATAGAACCAAGAACCATAGTGAACACCAGTCACAACCTGTAGTGACATGCAGGCGCTGGTGGCATTGAATGTAGCTGTAAGGCTGGTAATCGCGCTCTGCAGCAGGGCATTGTTCTGATCAAAGGTATCTTGTTGTGTGCAGCCCGGCATGCAGGTGCACGGGACCTCGCTATTGTAGGTCATTTGCATCATCGCCGCATAGATCGACAAGGTGGTGACGCCAACGGCGATCAGCGGCTTGAGCTCCACGAGGGCAAAATGCAGAAAGGCTGCTCCCACCATGGCTCGATACGAAGCAATTGGTCGCTTCGGCTCTCTGTCTGTAAGGGCACATCAGGCAAACATGTATGTACCACCGACAAGTTGAAGTGGCTGGGTGTGAGTCCAAACTCGTTGAATGTTGCACGATGTTGCACGATGTTGCACGTCCCTTCAAGACAAAAATGCTGCAGGGGCCTCGACGTTGCGCACAAATCATGCGGACAAACATAACGCAGTTTCCGGCTTAATTGGCTGGGTATCTAAAATTCGCAAGAAAAGGCAACTGTCCCAAATGAACCAATCCTTCTTTGAGGGCCACCTATTTTTTTGGTTGCCGCAAATGGAAACCAAAATGGACACCACACAATTTAGTACAAGGGGTTCCCTACCTTGATACAACCCCAAACGTTTCCACGAAAGGGCGGTTGCCACAAATGTGTCTATCCAAATTGTGGCAAACTTCCCCGCTCCCTTTTCCATGGCCGTCCATCTGGAAGCTCAGGCATGGGCTTTCGAGTTAAGAAACCCCGGCCGTGGGATTCCAGCGAAACCCTGTCCTTCAAGTCCACCAGGTCTTCATAAAACTTCTGCTGCTCCGAGTCCTCGCGGAGCTCGCAGAGGGCAGAGCGGCGATTCACGTTAGGGGACCCCGCGAAAGTCCCAGACCCAGCCAGCGGCACCTGGGATACCCAGTGGACTTTTTTTTTGGTTCTCTCGGGGGCATTGGTGTTTTGCAAGCGGCCGATTCCCTCTTCTCAACACTGACCCAGCCAGGGGCGAAAGAAGCACCAGGCTGAAAGTAGGTAGCACCAGGGTAGGGGAGCACTAAACCAAGACAAATGGGGCTCGTGCCAGTCAGTTTCACCCAAATCGAGTTTTGGAAAACCATTTTCCCAAGGTGGGTATTCGGAGTTCGGGTGACTTGAGGAGATTCATGTGCACCCCTTGCCATTCTCAAACATACAATAGTTGAAGGCTGTTCATGTTAAAAATATCGTTGCTCGGCTCAGTGCTTGCATTGGGGTGCGCCTAGGGAAAACCACTCAGTTGTCCAACAGGCCAGCGACGAACGGCTACCTCCCTGAAGACTTGCGTTGGAATTGGAACCACCAACTTCCAATGCGTAGGGGAAACTCCTTTGGGGAAACGGCCAACCAATTTGAGGGATCCCATGTCCCATGGAGTTGATGTGGGCAGACCTGTCAGTCATGCGAGGCGGATCCCTTCCGGATGACCAAGCTCAACTTGCCCTCCATTTTGGTCTTCCCTACCCGTTTCCGTGTACATCCATGCAATCAACGAGCAAAAAAACAAAACCTTAATGGATCGTCGTGCCTTTGTGCTTCTCCTTTGGAAATGGAAGTTGTTGAACTTGGAAAATGTTGGCAGGGCCTGGGACATTAACTGTTGACGCACGAAACAAGACACAACCACCAACGAAGCTGCCATTGGTTCCCCCCCCCAGTCCAAATCATTACCCATTCGCACTGAGTCTGTTGGAGACAAGCTCGCTTTCCATCTAAACCTATGCTTTGAATGAGGTGAAAGGTTGGGGTAATCCTATGTTGCTCCTCGGTTGGTTTCCCCGATTTCGCGTCCTCGAATATCAGCACCTCCTCTTCTTCCACCACCTCTTCCTCGAGTCGAACGGATCAACCCACGCAAGGTATGCCAACGATTGCTACAGGAAAAGCCAAGTCAGGGCTCTGAAGGCTCGCTGAAGGGAATTCCCTTTCAAAAAAAGGGTTCAAAAGGAGCACAGGAAAGGTTTCCGGCGCCCACGCGCTGGCCGGATACGGCCGAGGAAAGTCTTCCAAATTGCGGGCCCGTGGTTCGGACAGAGCTTTGGGATTGCAACTGAGCTATTCATGAATACTCGACATTTGCACAGTGACGCAGCCCTTGGTTCAGCACGCATGGCCGTAGCAAACTTGGCGCTGTAAGCCAAAGTAAGCAAGCAGGACAAAACATGATGGCACGTTTTGTGTCTGGCCCCCAGACGTTCAAGTCCTCTCCGACTGGGGGAGTCCACGGCACTGCTCAACCGGTCGTCTGACTTCGGTGAACCTGGCTTTTAAAGGATGGCTTCCCTCAATCACCCCCCCCCTCCCACAAAAATCCGGGGTCGGCTAAACAAGCTTGAGCCGTCTTTCAGTGAACCTCTCTCACCTTCCCCCACCTCCCCCCCACGGCTCCGGGCCTTGGCTTTCTCCCCCGCCCCAATGCGCGACCTGGGCGACTGGATCTCGAGTGAAGCGACGCCACGTGGATCCAACCCTCCAGACGTCGCAAGGGGCCCCCAACCCCCCCCCCCCCCCCCAACCGCCAAAGGCCGCTAAGTTTGAGGGAAATGAAGGAAACCGGGGCAAAAAACAAAAACATGTTATTTCAGCCTGGCAATGGCGCTTCGCGGCGCTTGTCACCTTTTCATGCTTTGCCCCTGTGTACAACCACTGGCTTACGGCTGACCAGCTGCCCCGGAACTGTCGAAGCCGCAAAACGCGCCTTCGGTTGGACCCCATAGCTGCTATTCCCTTTTGGGGGAGCAAACTTTGAGCCTTTGACTAGTTTATTTTTTGATTGGGTGTCGGGCTCTTTTCCAGGCAGTGTAAATGGGCACCAAAATGAGATCATCCCTATTTGACAAGCCACACCCAAGTTCCGCTGGCGTCTCATCGGCTTTGGGAAGACTCAGTGCCCCCGCTGTGTACCTCCAACTCCAACATCAGCACTGCCTAGAAACATCTGTATGTGTATATATATATATGTGATTCGGGCACGAGCCTGTGCCCAGGCAATGGGTAAGTTGGGGTAAACAAGCCACAAAAGAAAGGTTCCCCAAAAGCAAACCAATCCCCGGTCCCAAAGATCAGGGTTTCCCACACACCAGAGAACAACAACCAAAGGAAAACAAACCAAACAAGAAAAGGGTTAACCCGCAACCTTGGTCGACAACAGGCCGCACGACTGGTCCCTACCAACCTGGCGGCGGCCCGAGGTCTCTTTCTCCCCCGAGATGCCGTCGGTCGACGCAGGGGTTCGGCGACGCCCATTCGAGGCGCGACGGAACCCAAAACTTGAGCCAAAACACCACAGGTCGGTCACTAACGCGACGTCCCTGATGATGATATGAACCATGGCTAATCACACCCCCCTCACGAGGAGCCCGTCATATGACGGGTGGAGCGTGCCATTTACTGATAGGATTTAACTGCTCGCATGCGTCCGCAAACAGCTGGACACTACCGCCGTCAGCGGTGGAGCAAACCCACAAAGGCAGTTGCGCGACATCCCGGGCATTAAATTCCCGCCACCACCCCGAATTAATCGGGGTAACGCTGTCCAACAAACCTTGTGGAAAAGTCCACATGACGACATTAGGTCACAACTGTTTGCATCAACAATGCAAGAAGTTTAATTCTTATCAGAAGCCATGAAATAAAAGATAACGTATGTCCATTAGTACCCTCGCCTAACGGCAAGAGGTACCCCTGACCATGCGTACCTGAAAAATGCTTGAATTCCGCAAACCCGGGAGTAACCCCCCATCAGTTTGCTTTCCCTCTCACTCATACTGCTTCCGGATGAGCACGTCCAGCAGCTCAGCAGCGGTACGGGAGAGACATGACCTCCGCGCCTCAGCGGTCCGGGAGGAACATCACCACCTCCACACCGCGCCGACCATTGGAGAATGGACGCAAGCCTATCGGCCGCAATCCTCGTGACTCAGCCTACCGGCTATCGTCACGTCTCCTCCGGTCACGTCCGCCCCGCGCACGGTCCCTATCACGATCCCTTTCGGATCTCCTGCGATCATCTCGCCTTCGATCTCGCTCCCGATCGAGTGAATCATCATCACGACGATCACGAGCATCGTCCCTCCTCCTGTCGCGATCATCCTCGCGCCGCGGACGGTATCTGCGCCTCCTCGACTCTCTGGAATCCCTGGTGTCCACGGTCCTAACGGACCTCCGAGAAGGAGTACGGGAAACATCCGATTCCCTATGCCTCCTCCCAGATCGAGAGTTCGTCACGATCTGGTTGAGAGCCTCCAGTGCCAACGCGTCCTCACCATTCCTGATGAAATCCCTGACCTGCTTGTTCAGCACCCTGTTGGTGGAGATCGACAAGAAAGCGTCCACCACCGAACTCTCAGGCAGCACCAGGAAGTGACCCTCCACCGGGCTCGCCGCAGCCCGCTCAGCAGACTGCAGCCGGATCTCCCCGCCTTCAGGCTTCTTTGCCATCGCCTTGGAGGCCGTCAAAGGCGCTACCGCATCCTTTGCCGAAGATCTGCCAAGCGCGGAGTGAAGATCATCCCCGCTAGCTTCTCTCGCTGCCGCACCTGGTCTGCTGTCGACGTCGCCAGGCCTCGTGGACGCCTCCCGCTTTGTCGACTCCTTCGCAGCCTCGTCGGGATCCCAACGGGATTTCCTTTCTCTCTTCTGTCCTTCGGCCGACCCGCGGCTACCGCCGCGAGCGTCACCTCCTCCTGTCTTCTCCTTCTTGACCTCAACCTTCGGTTCGGCCTGCTTCGTCTCCTTAGCCACAGCTTTTGGAGCCGGGGCACCCTTCGCCTCAGAAGCTGAAGCGGCCTTCCCTCTCGGCTCGGCCTTAGGAATCGGGGTCATTTTAGCCTTGGCACTCGGCCTGGCTCCTTCAACCACCATCTCGGCCCAAGACTTCTTCGGCTGAGCTGCTGCTGTGTCAACCTCCATCGGAGCAGGTCCAGCATCGTCCTTCGCCTTTGGGACAGATGGGCTACCGCCCTTACCAGATCCTTTACCTGGTACATCACCTGATTTCGGTGGTGGGCCGGAAGGACTACCGCCCTTACCGCCCTTTTCCCCTTTCTTCCCTTTTCCTTTTCCGCCCTTGGGGACCGGCTCCTGCTTGGGACCAGGACCCGGCGCAGCATGATGCACCGATTGGAGTCCCTCGATGTCCACGTTCAAAGGTTCGGGTTGACGACCGTCAAGAACCGTCCTCACCCTTTCGTCACTAACGTAGACGAACGGGTCACGGAAGGGTGCGGGAGGCTCCGACTGTCCGGCGCTGATCGCCTTCTGCACCTTGGCTATCGCCTCCTTCAACCTCTTCTTCTCATCGTACCCCGTCTCCGATACCATGTACTTCCTGAGCTGCGAAATCAACGCATGACTCTCCAGGATGTCCACGTCCTTTCGATGGGTCGGGTACAATGGGGTCAGATGACCAGCCGCAGAACCAATCACGTATGCCATCGGAATATAGAATGACAAGTACGTGTCATGACGAGCGAACTTCCTAACGGAAGTCGTCATACGCCTACCCCACTGAGCAGCGTGTCTTGGGTTGGCCCGGAAGTACTCCGTGACCGACTCAAATCTATCGACTTGGTTGGTCTTGATCAGGTGCTTCGCCACCCACTTCTCCACAAACGCATCCGAGGCCGAAATCCCGGACACATAGGAGAATTGGAAGAGCACCTTCGCCAGCTCATCCCACGCCGCATCGACACCTCCCTTGTCTTCACCAAGATAAGGGGGAAGTCTGATGCCGCTCTGCACCGTCATCCTTAGATCGGATGCCATCGAATAGGAAATCAAATTCCTCTTGATGACTCCGACCACTTCGGAGGGAATCCTCCTGGGCTTGAACTGCCCCATGGTCCTCACCCACTCCGGCACGATGTGGCACCTTTCGAAGTCCTTTTCCTCCGCGTTGGGGATAAAGTTCGGGTAAAAGACCGGGAGCGCGCACCCGGGACACAAGTGCATCCCATTCGGCATCAATTCTGCGCACCTCAAGCAGAACGTGGCAGTCACATTCAGCCTGATCTCTTCCCGTGATCGCCTGTGCTCTCCCCTAACGGGGGTGAAGTCACCGTAGTCCCATGCCCGATGGTACACTATCGTGTAATCATCGTACATATACGCCGCCTTCCAAGCCCCCATGTGGATCTCGTTCCTAACGGCAAGAGTCTTCCTTCTCGTCAAAAACACGGGTCCAACCAAGGACCAGTGCACCCGAAGATCCACCATTACCACCACGTACCTACCGGAGTAGTTCCGCAGCCTGTCCCTGACATACCACGAAGGCGATACCTCAGCATCCGGCGCCATGGCTCCCACAAGTGGGATCAGGCCCTCATCCTGCCTACCATCCCCAATGGTCTCGTACACATCGGGCCTCGTGATCAATATCTCGATCATGGCCTTTCCATTTCGCCTCACCCTTTGGAGCTGAACCGCCTTCCGAAAGTCCGAGAACTTCATGATGACGTATCCCACCATGGGGAGTTCATTCCAATGCATCTCATACATTAGAGATCCGCCAGGTGCATCTTCCTGAGTATACCTGTGCCTAACGGCACTGTAACTCAAGTCGCGTCCGATCCGCGTGTGCCTAACGGCAACCAACCTGGTGCTCTCCTTGAGGAGAACGCCATCCCCGTCGTACATGACCATGAGCATCGCCTCCACTTGCCCTATCGGGAAAGCTTTAAGCGTCGGAATGAAGAACTTCCAAGACATCTCAGCGTTCTCCATACCCGAAATCTCCTTCAGGAACCAGATGGCCTGGTCACTTTTCACCCAGTTTCCAGCCTCGCGTCCGGTCTCCTTCAGCACACGTTCCTCGAATAACTCCGAGACTCTCTTTGAATTGATGACCAAGCCGTCGAAATCGCACGAGAGCAGTCTCATCAACTCCTTCGCCGCCTCCCGTCCTGCAACAGTGCCCACGGTCTCCTCGTAGTTCGGGAGGTATTCACCCAACCTCGTCTTCGAGGGAACCACAATCTGGCAAGTGACGGCCTCATCAGGGATAACTCCCGTTTCCCTTAACTCTGGATTGATCTCTCGCCTATCGGCAAGATAATCCTCCTTCCCATCCAGTATCACAAGATTGTAGGTCATCTTGCTCGCCGCCCCACTAGGCCTGAACTTCCTGCTATCATCCAACTGGTCAGGAGCAAAGGGTCCACTAGGGGCGGCTGCACTCACCAGAGGCGCTCCTCGCCCAGAGCAGAGGTGCTTCTTGTGAAAGTTCACCATCTGATTCAGCTGCGATAGTGCGTAGGCACGATCCTCCAATGACGCACTCTTCATCCCAGCCTCAGTCAGAGGAGCCTCAGGCTTGTCATAACTCGCCTTTCCGCCCCATCTCGCCGCGACCAGCTCAGCAGACTTCGCAGGGTCGATCATATTTCCCGACCACTCAGGCATGTTGCTCAACCTCCTAGTCAACG